AAATTAAATAATGATATATTTTTTTGTTATAAAACTAAATAATGATTTTAAGATAAAATGAAAAAAAGACACATGTTACAAGGAGGAGAATCTTATATGATATCTAAGAAACTTGACCTAGATATTAAAACTATATATATTGGACAAACTAAACTAAACCTCGATACATTTACCGAGTTAGAGTGCTCGGCAAGTAAACGCAACATGGATACGCCAAAGGGTTTGATGAGAGAAGAGGAGAGACGAAATGTGTCTGAAAATCATGATTGGTCCAAACTTTATCCTGATCTCTTACGGTCGATACTCGAAAGCTTGAACTCTATTGATTTTCACCGAGCAAAAACCGTTTGCTCAGATTGGTATTCAATTTGGAAAACATGCGTGAAGCGTCCTCTTTGTCCATGGCGGATCACATACGTAAAAGACTCTTTGATGTTGTTAAATCCCGGAGAAGACAAGATTTACAAAGGAACAAACGTTGGACTCTCTAACGACAGCTATTATATGACTAGCTCAGGAAACTGGCTCTTGATGGTAGATTCTAATCTCGGTTTCTACATTTTTAACCTGTTAACGTACAAAAGAATCGATCTTCCATCTATGGAGTCTTCAATTCGCGGTGGGAATGTGAGATTCGAGCGGAACCGCGAGGATGGATTCAGCGAGTGGGGACACTTTGTTGATCCATGTCGTAAGGATTATGTGGGGAAAGACATCATGATATGCCGAAGATCAGCTGTTTTATGGATAGATGAGAGAACAGGAGATTATGTGGTTGCTTGGATTTACGATAATCATTACTTGTTCTTATACAAGAAAGGAGATGATTCATGGTGGAACTGGAATGACCATTGGAATATGGGAAGCCTAAATTTAAGTTTTTTGGATTTGGCTTATAGAAACAGCAAGCTTTATCTCTATACTACTAATGGTCACATCAAAATTGTTGATTTCTCTCGAAATGATCCCATAGAAGTAATCGAAAAAAACCCGTATTTGGAACATCCGTTTCGATACTTTTCAAAAGAAGGGGAATACATTTGTAAGACGAGAATGGCGATTCAGAAATCAGGAGAGGTTTTGATTATCTTGAGTGTATTCGAACTAATATCGGAAAGGAAACTTTTGTTTTACATCTTTAAGATGAATCTTGAGAGTAACATATGGGAAAGAGTAGAATCTATTGGAGATGATGAGATGTTGATCTTTGGTCATGGGGTTACAATAAGAGCACCGGTTCAAGATGTTGGTGATGATGGAATCAAGAGTGGTTCAATCTATTTCGCTGTAGATGACTTACAGCCAATATATTATCATGCTGTTTCAAATTGCGGTGTCTTTGATCTTGCAACAAGTATAATCAAATGGCCTAAGGAAGACAGTTTTAATAATAGATTTGTTAAAACTCAGTGGTTTGTTCCAGGATTTGCTTAGTCTTTTGGTTAACTAGTTTTCTTCAATATTTAGTAATTTTTTTTGTTACAGGCTTCTACAATATGTTCTTCTTTTTTGTTTTCATTTTATTAATGATTCCAGTGAAAAAAAAAAACATAGAATCAAGAAATGTAAATTCTGCATTCTGATTTTGACTTTTTTTATGTTTGATAAATAAATTCACTGTTTAAAAAGAAAACAAGAACTAGGGAGACTTGGGGTGTTGAAGGACCAAGTCAAGTGTGAAAGCCACATTACAAAAGACTTTAGAAGACTTTAATTTTCTTACAAGTCCTTGAGAATGATCTTGTTAACATTTTAGACTTTAACTTACAAATTTATTTTCTTCAATATATAAAATTCTCATACAAGGATTCAGCGAGTGGAGACACTTTGTCAATCCATGTCGTACGGACTGTGTGTCGAAGACATCATCATATGCAAAACATCAGCTGTTCTATGGATAGATGAGCGAATATACAAGAAAGGAGTCCATCCTAGAGAAGTAATCGAAAAAAACCCCGTATTGGGATCATCCTAGAAAAGATCTTGATAAGTTTTAAGAGATCCACTCTTTCGTTGACTTTAGTTTAGGAGGACCTTGACCTAAATTGACTCTCTTCAACAGTTTGTTGAATCACTTATTTGGAAAAGTGTAAAACATCTTCACTAGCTAGCTGATGGAGTACCTCTTTCAAACTGAGTTGGATTAGAGAAGCTTGTAGTCTCATTACTATCTTCAAGAGTTTCTGGAACCGTTGCTGCGGGTAAATACAAGAGAGGTTTAGGTGGAACTTCGAGAGCCTCTAGATTCCCCTCTAACATTTCAATGACTTTGATCATTGGTGGACGGTCAGATGGATTCGTCTGAATGCACCACAAACCAACCAATACCATTTTCTTCGCAATTTTCTCTTCTTCTTTGGTTATCTGATCTCCCAAAATCCTCATAATTTCTCCTTGCTCAAAATCCTTATAGATCCAATCTGGAAAGTACACTGAACTATTAGTGGAACGAGCATTTTTAACCATGTTTATATTCCTTGCTCCAATCATCTCAAGAATCACCATCCCATAACTATACACATCTGACTTATGCGAAGCTCCCCCAAAATTCTTGGAAAATACTTCAGGGGCAATATATCCCGCTGTCCCTCTGGCATCTAGCATTGAAATTATGCTTACTTCCTTATTCTTGCATAGTTTAGCAAGACCAAAATCCGAAATCTTAGGGCAAAGATGATCGTCCATCAGTATGTTCTGCGGCTTTATGTCGAAATGTACAATCCTTGTGACACAGCGATTGTGTAAATACTCTAGGCCGCGAGAGATACCTAGCGCAATGTCATATAATTTTTCCCAATCCAACTTGGTTGACATATTATCAGAAATATACTTGTCGAGGGATCCATTAGGCATGAACTCATAGACTATAGCTCTCTTGTTCCTTTCATAACAGAATCCAAGCAAAGAAACGATATTGACATGAGATGTTCTACTCATGCTAGCTACTTCATTGATAAACTCTTCCCCATTCCCCTCTGTCTCCTTCAAGATCTTCACTGCAACATCCCGACCGCTATCAGGTAACTTTCCTTTGTAGACGGTTCCAAATCCTCCTTTCCCAAGAACATGCGCAAATGAGTTTGTCATCCTCTTGACTCTTTTGTAACTATATCTTTTCAACATTACAACTGCTTCAACGTTTTGGTCATCCCAATCACTCTTTGTCCTATTCTTTGTTTTCATTATTATCACGACCACAATAATTATCATCACAGTTAAAGCTGCTAAGACTCCTGCCATAAGATAAACAGAATCAAAATTTAGGTGTTGGTTTTTTGTATATAAGAGTACTATCTGATGGATTGAGCGATATATATATATAGTACCAAGTATGAGTTTTAATTTCCATGCTGATTTTTCTGCCAAAAAAAAAAAATCAAACAAGAAATCTTGTTAAGCAAAAAAATCATAAGAACTATTGGTATGAAAAAAGTTCATAAAACAAAACTTACGTTTTGTTCCTCCATTAGTTTCCTTGGAAGGTTGAGCTGGGAATGGAGGATCAGCCGCTGAGCTCCTGTTGTTGCTATCGAAGAAGTGACATAATCACATATCAGTTTATAAGACCTAACTAGCAATTTAAAAAAATGGGTAGGTGCTAATCAGAAATGGGTAGGTTCATTTAAATGTCCTTTTTATAAATTGCTTATAATATATTAAACTTGCTTCCATGTGAATAAATCGGCCTCCTAAACCATAAACTCCCTTAATAAGAACAATTCTTGTTCCCTTAATAATGTTTTTATATTTTATTTTCAACAAATTTGACCAAAGCTAAAAAAATGTAACTATTTATGACGACGATTTTAGTCTAGATGACGACCAATTTTAATAACAATTTTTGGCATTATGGATTATTAGAACATTGGATCCTATATTAAACAGGGTAAAATATTTGGATAAACTCATTAGCGTGATGAGTTGGATTGGATTGTGTTAGCGAACCAAAATATATGGTCCATTTCAACTAGTCAACATTCTAGAAAATATCTCTAGAATGAATAGTCAAAATTAAAGCCGTGTATGATCCAATATCTCTAGAACATTGGATTCAACTAACCTACGTCTTTGACGAAATAGGAAGGATATTTCCGGGAACTTACTTGGTGGTGTTCGAAGTAATCGGCGGGCAAAAGGTGATGACGTAATTAGGTGAGCTTGAGCATGTGAATGTGTTGGTTGCATCATCATAAACATAGCTATAAGCGAGTGGACATTCGTTCTTGAAATTCTTTGCGTAAAGCGACGGTGGACATTTCTGACGCGTAGAGTACTCGCCGGTGCAGCAGAATTCCGCTGTTTTGAATTTCTGACAAGCGTTCATGCAAGCAATTGGCTCTTCCTCGCTGGAGTTTCCCATAACCTGAAGCTCCGACGGACACGTCTCGGTCAGGTTGACCACGCAACCAATGGTGATGCATGTTTGGCCACTCTGCGGACGTTGTGGGACCACCACTAAAGGAAGGTTGTATCCGTCCACGAGGCTTACGTCATAGATGTCTTGACCGTTGGGACCGTTTAGGGAAAATTCAGCTAGAGTCGTTGGAGGCGCTGCGCCTCCAGAGCACTCGATTTTTCCGGAGCCACAATCTCCGGTGGCGCAGGAGAAGTTCCCTGTTGAGCTGGTGGAGCAAAGAGACCTACCCCAGAAACGACCATTCCATGACGTCGGCGCGTTGATGACACGCGCCTCTCCTTTCTTGAGTTCAAAGCCGGTAGTGGAGAGCGGAACAGTACTTGCGGTTGAAACTCCCGGCCAGACAGTATAGTCGCATTTGTTTTCGATAGTAAAGTTTCTTGACGTTACTCCTGCGATTAGAACAATTAACAATTAAGAAAAATATCACCAAATAAGAACTAAACCAAAAATGTTCTCTGGAATAATGGAAACGGCCGTACGTGAGACGAATAAAAGTGAAACAAGGAGGAACATCAATGACAACCCTTCAACCATTGGCTCGAAGAAGACAGTATACGATAAAACACTAGCAAAAGGGAGAAAATAAAAAGAACGAGAAGAAATAGAAAATATAGTCAGAACTTGACTTGACTACCTTTGGAAAATCTTGACAAGGAAGGAAGAAGTAATTAAATTGGAAATTTTTTTTTTTTTTTAAAAGGTAAATTGGAAATTTCTCGAGGCTAAAAAGTATCTAAATAACAATAATAAAAATATTTAAATTTATCGGTCATTTTGGTTACAAAAATTTAAAAACGATTAATCCTATCTGTAGTGGTGGTTTACCTTTTTATTACAATAATGATTTTAATGTATCCATTATTTTTGAAAGTAATCGTTTAATTGATGTTGAGGCTGTGATAAAGGGGAAAACAATACATCTTACTTTCGTTTATGGTGACCCGGTTCCGAAAAATAGAAATCAAGTTTGGGAATGGTTGACACAGATCGGTTTGACTAGGGACACACCTTAGTTTTTAATAGGTGATTTTAATGAGTTAACCGGAAACCATGAGAAAAGAGTTGGTAATTTAAGACATGCATCGTCTTTTATCCCTTTTAATTTAATTATTAAAAATTGCGGTCTTTTGGAATTTCCATATATAAGAGATTGGTTGTCCTGGCGGGGTTGCCGGGATAAAAAAACCAATACGGTGTCGTTTGGATAGAGGTTTAGCAAACGAAGATTGACATGAATTATTCTGCAATTATTTCGTTGAATATTTACCAATGGTAGCTTCCGACCATTCACCGGTGGTAGCTACGCTATTGGATAAGGTACCACCACGTGGAAAAAGGAATTTCAGGTTTGGTAAGAGATGGATTGGGAAGGAAGGATTACTAGAAGCAATTTCAAATGCCTGAAATGCTTATAAGGAATTAGGAAAAAGAAAATTTGTGGAAAAACTGACTAACCGTAGGCGGGCTATTTCGCAGTGTAGAAAAGAATTAACTCCATATGGACAGCAAACAACTGAGGAACTAAAATCGGAATTATATGTGGCTCAGAGAGATGATAGGAGACCTCGGGAGTAAATTACAAAATTAACAATGCGGCTGAAAGAGGCTTACCGAGATGAGAAATTATATTGGCATCAGAAAAGTATGAGTTTTTGGATGCAATCAGGGGATAATAATTCAAAGTACTATCATCTACATATACATTTTTACAGTACTTTTTTGCTTTAATTCTTTTGGATCCGGGTTTGACCCGGTTTTAGTCTGTTCGGATCTTGGATAAGCAATTTTAGGGATGTTGTCTTAATTTCAAACTGATAAATGAAGTCATGTTGTCTTTAATTCATCTACTTATTCTTATACTATTTCCATATTAATCAAAATCTCCGGATACTTAGCATTTACCATACCTAATTGATTAACTCCATTTTTACCAAAATCAATACAAATAACATCTCACATACCTTAAGTATATTGTTCCTTTATTTTCGCCAATGCAATCTGCAACAAAAAACGACATTAATTTTTAATTAACACCTAAATCTAATTATATATGATATCTACAAACTAACTATATTTGTTATTTACCTTAACTACTTCTAACAATAAATATTTTGATTACAATAAATATTTTGTAAAAAATTGTTCTTACGAAAAATAATTTGATTTGTTATGAAAATTAATATTTGTTATTTTTAAAAATTATTTTTGTCATTAAAATACATAAATAGTAATAATAATTTGGCTAGACCATCAAATGAAAATAGTTAGTTATTTAATTTTTTATTTAATATTACGTAATTTTTTTTGGGTAATATTTTCTGATGTGGGTGAACAAATAATTTTATTATTTATGAATACAAAACTATAAAATCTAAATTAGTTTAAAGTTTGGGATAACTATAATCCCAAAAATAAAACTAATTGGAAACTAATCCCAACAATCAATCTACATAAATGGCATATTCTTTACAACATTACTAAATCGCATTTAAGTCATTATTTGTTTCCAATTATGATTACAAACCTTTGATTTAATGGTATTAATATACCTATGCATCAAAATATTAAAATCAGTGAGATAATTGATTTTAATGAATATACGTATGCATCAAAATATGAAAATCTTAGCATAATATATTCTCCAAAAGTAAACGTACCCATAATTCATGCCGCTGGGTAAGTTAATAAACGAATTAAATCAATCAGTTTCCATAAATATCGAAGCAAATCTTTCCAAACAACCGAATAATTAATGTGATTACAGTTACTTATTCACACATTATCCTTTCTGCTATTTTTTCCACACAAAATATTGATTACAACGATTTTATAGAAAATATTAATTACATATATATTCTTCATAGTAGTATATTCCAAAAAAAATTCCGAAGAATATATTTTGTTCCATTTTAGTTAAGGTATCAAATATAATTTCCTTGGTCACCAAGAGATTATGATCTAATGTGTGACGCCTATATATACTCTTTAGTCTTTACCATTACCTCTCATCTCATTTTTCAAACACATTATTGATAAAACTCTCTACACATTCCTTTGTATATATGCCTTATTTTGGTCAAATCTTTATGTTCGCACGATTAACATCATCTTTATTTTGTTTGTTTCTATACGTAGACGAAACTCATAATGGCTCTGAATATAGGATTGCTAATAGCCGGTGCAAAAGAAATGGGAGAATTGGAGGCTCGGGTCACTGCTTTGATAAGTGATGTTAAAAATTCAGGTTAGTGATCTCAAATTTTAATACATCAAAGAATGAAATTAGCATGGCACATTGCTAACAGTTTTTTTAAATTAAATTCTAACTATAAGAGCTAAATTTTATCAAAAACCATACACCACCAATCAGTTTTATATACTACCAAAATCATAAATTTATGAAGATCAAAATTAAAAAGTCAAAATTGTTCCACGGGTCAATATCTAAATGTATAATTGAGTTACTATATTACATATATTTTAATACGAAATAATTTTTTTTGATAAAATCCAACATTGTTATATATACAAATTCAAAATATTATAAATATTTATAATATTAAAATTTTAGAAAAAGTTTATAATATTAATAATATAGATGAACTCTAAACAATTAATAATATATATATATATATATATATATATACTTATTGACTCGAATTATATGTCTTTTAAATAAAAATATTATTAAAAAAACAAAATGATGTTGAATTTCCAAATTAACAATCAAAATAATATTCTACAATATTAAATACTAAACAAAACAAATACAACTTAAAATTTAATATTTTTTCAAAAACGCATCTCGATTCTTTTATAAGAAGTTTAAACATTATAAATACTTAAACTTTATACTACGGATGAAATCCTAAAATTGACGGTTTTGGATTGATATTAATACGGGATAATATAGTACGGGTGAAATCCTAGAATTTACAATCAAATAAAATTAACAAAACAAATATAACTTAAAATTTTTAGTTATAAAATATCATTTCGCGATGTACTATACATTTAAATCAAACAAAACAACAGCATATATCTATAGATCATCTTAAAAAAATATTGAATATTTATTTAATAAAAATATAGGCCCGCGGTGTACCGCGGGTTAACATCTAGTGCTCTATAAAAACAGAGACGGGCAAGGAATCAAATTAAAGGGTTAGAGGATGAAAATGAGACTTGGTCTGCAGAGGATAAAGATATTCAAAATATAACGGTATCTTATTTTAAGAATCTGTTTACTACAACTAAGCTAGAGGACTTTGAGGAATCTTTGGCGAAAGTTCAAATTCAGATTACGGATCAAGTTAATAATTATCTAACGGCACCCGTAACGGAGGGTAAGGTGAAAACGGCTCTGTTTATGATGCATCCATAGAAAACTCCAGGGCCTCATGGTATGACAACCTTATTTTTCAAAAGGCTGGGGTTACTATTAAAGGAGACCTTCTTTTTCTAGTCAACTCTTTTTTAGAAGATGGAATCTTTGACTAACGGTTAAATATGACTAACATTTGTCTAATTCCAAAAATGGAAAGACCGACATGGATGACGGAATTACGGCTTATAAGTCTTTGCAATAATGGTTATAAAATTAGATCAAAAATTCTTTGCCAAAGACAAGATGGTTCTACCAAAACTGATTTTGAAAATGCAATCGGCTTTTATAGAAGGACGATTGATTTCGGATAATATTCTTATTGCACAAGAGATGTTTCATGGGTTGAGAACTAACCTGTCCTTTAAAGGAAAATTCATGGCTATTAAAATGGATATGAGTAAGGCTTATGATAGGGTATAATGAATTTTCATTGAGAAGGTGTTAAGAAAATTGGGTTTTGTGAAAAATGGATTAACTGGATAATGTGGTGTATTACAACAGTCCAATATAGAGTTCTCCTTAATAGACAACCGAGAGGATTAATAGTCCCAGAGAGGGGATTACGACAAGAAGACCCGCTGTCGCCATAATTATTTATCCTTTGCATAGAAGTGCTAATTGCGAATATTCGGAAAGCAGAACAGGAAAAATAAATTATGGGTATCAAAGTAGCAAATGCAAGCCCTTCGGTTTCACATCTGTTATTTGCGGATGATATTTTTTTTTTTGTAAGGCAAACAAGGACCAGTGTGGAGTAATCTGAAATATTTTAAAGAAGTATGAAGCGGTCTCGGGACAGCAGATAAAGTTTTTAAAATTCTCGATTCAGTTTGGACATAAAATAGATGATGATATCAAGGAAGAGATCAAATCTACTATTGGGCATTACTAATATCAGTGGTATGAGTTCTTATCTCGGATTACCAGAGAGTTTAGGTGGCTCTAAGACAAAAAAAAATTCTCTTTTGTTAGAGATAGATTACAGACAAGAATTAACTGATGGTTGACCAAATTTTTATAGAAGTGTGGAAAAGAAGTGATGATTAAATCGGTAGCTGCATCATTACCAACTTATGTTATGTCATGCTTCAAACTACCTAAACAATCATTTCTAAACTTACTAGTGCGGTTGCTAATTTTTGGTGGAGTTCGAATGGATGGCCTGGAATAAATTGTGCAATAGTAAATCGGAA